ATATTTATTTATTTATAAATATATTATAAAGCCCCCATCAAGGAGAAGGAACAGAAACAGCAACAGCAGAGATATCTGTATTTTGTGTAGCGTATTTACTATCTATATTTTTATTTATATTTATATTTTTATTTATATTTTTATTTATATTTTTATTTATATTTATATTATTATTTTTTTTATTTTTTTTGTTTGTATATATATAAGCTTTTGGTTGTTTTTTTTTAACGAAAAAAATAAAGACAGCGAGAAAAAGACAGAAGACAGCGAGGAGCAGCATACAAAGACAAGGTGTGTGGGGTGTATATTCATCTCTATCTTTGTCTTTGTCTTTGTTTTTTTTTGTATAAAAAAAAGAATATATAGGGCCTCTTAGTAAACCTAATAAACCCCCGCTTATACTAACTAAACCCACCAAACGACCAAAGTCTATAGAACGAAACGTATCGTTTATATATGCATACATTTGCCCGCTAAAGCTAGAAATATATAAACAACAAAAAAAAGGAGATATATATTGAGATATATATAAAGGTAAATATAAAGATATATACATACATACACCATTTATTATTATAAATAATATTAAATAACATACACCTAAATACTCTGTATATACACCTAAACATATACATGGAATCAAAGAAAAAGGAGACAAAATACCTATTATATTATTCCCTTTTCTCCCTAACCATCGCTCTGCTGATGTTATATAAAAATTATAAAATAAACAGTTTAGAGGCCAATACAACCAAATTAATATAAAATGTAAACTCAACAACTGGCTTAGGAATGTTACTTTCTCCTCCTGCTGCTGCTCCTGCTGCTGCTGCTGCTGCTGCTGCTGCTGCTGCTGCAGTTGCTGCTGCTGCTGCTGCTGGTGTTGGTGGGGTTGGTGGGGTTGGTGGGGTTGTATTGTGTTACTTGCAGCTCCTAATTCGATTTCTTCTGCTGCTGTTGCTGCTGCTGCTGTTGTTGCTGCTGGTGTAGTTTCTGCTGCTGCTGCTGCAGCAGTTTCTGTATCAGCAGCAGCAGCAGCAGCAGCAGCTGCTGCTGCTGCTGTTGTTGTTTTTTGTTGTTGTATGGCTTGTATTTCTTCTGGTGTTTTATAAGGAG